TTTTTAGGCAGGTGATACAGAAGTGCCATCTTCTGTGTGTATGGAGTGCCACGGAGAAACTGGGGAAGCCCCGGAGGAAAACTCCTTGTTGCCTAGACCACGGCCTTGCCCAACATAAGTTATAAATTCGGGCACCGCCGGGAATCGAACCCGGGACCCCAGGATTACAAGGCTAGCGTATGGAAATATATAAACGAATAATATTAATCACTTAAAAAGAGTAAGTGCTATAATGAACATTATGCATCTTGAGCCAATGTGTGTAATAAACGAGCCAGTAGGATAGACGTCGATCTGACATTGCCATGTCATCCAGAATTTCTGAATGAAAATGCAGTTCCTACTTCAAAGAAAACACAATTTGTCACATTAGAAATATCAACTGGTTGAAGCTGTTTAAATAATTAAGTCATGAAGGTCTTTATGGGGTAACAACTCTTAACCATAAGAATCCACGGTAACGAACGTACGGGATCCACAAAATGTGAGGATTTTTTTTTCTTTTGGATGAGTTACATTTGAGCAGCGAATTGAGAAGATGTGTTAAAGAAAACGGTCGATCCTTGTGGCATTTTCGTGGAGTGAAACAGATGATAACCATCGATCAAGATGGCGTATCTGCGGTTCAAAATTTAAAATCTATATGACGTAGAGGTACCAATAGCCCGGTTAATAGTTAAAGAGCCTGTTATCCTTTAATGTGGACACATTATGCCGGATATGCTAGAATCGGACTGTTTACTTCGTGCATAGTAAATAAAAGTTACAATGAAAATAATCTTTTAAAATAGACAATTCGTGAGCTTGCCCGTTTAATAGACTCACATCCACGTTACGTTTTCCCTCACCTTGTAGCCTTTAAATGAGACTAGAGGGTGTCTAAATCCCTTGTCACTGAACATGCAAGAGCATTAGCTCCCCTTCATTGTCTGACAGGATCATAACGTTGTAGTGGACCCACAACTAACGTTTATTATGACAACCGCGGTCTGCAGTCAATACGTGTAAGCTAATAAGCGCACAGCTTAGATGTCATGAACCAGTTACAAACACGAGAGATTTCTCAGATTATTTCTGACTTCTCCCTAACAGATTTAACTCCTAAACACATTTCCAGGTTGCAAATAGATTTTATTTTGATACGATATAGCTCTTTGTCTGAATTCAAAGCTGTGGTTAATTAGCATGTTAAAGGTAATGCTTGGAGCAGTAGTGTTTGCAACAAAGCCTAGGTTCTACCCTGTGTGTTCATTAAACTGGATTTAAATTAATTTCAAACGTCATACATCCAGTACTGTGTTTATATTCTGACTTCCATTACAAAAAATGTTCTTAATACAAGTCAGGCTTACCTTTTAACTTCTTCAATGCTCTGAGCATTTTTTTTATAGCAAGAAGTGCTATTTGTCTGTACGTTCATATGCTAACTAAACTTTTCTATTGTTCAAAAGAAACAAAGAATTATTTTGTAGTTTCCAGAGATGGCAAAGTTTTAATTTCGACTATACTATGTGTGTGTGAGAGAGAGACAGAGAGTTACGGAAGGGTTTTTGTCCCTTTTACGTGAGGCAAAATTTCGTGATGTACCGTCGTGCGTCGCTGACAAATTAGGCTGTAACGCTGATGGGAAAAGGCTGCGAGAAACTTTTTTCTCCAAGATAATGAAACATTTTGAGTGCACAAGTACCCACTGGGACGTATATCGCTCGTCTGAAAACAGACGTTGTCCAGGTATCAGGGCAATGAAAGTTCTTAAATCAGATTTCGAAAATCCGACAAATTACAGTACTTCCAACCCACACGCAAAAATCTGTATTGTTTTTTGTCGTCTGCTGCTACTTGTAAATGTGTTTGTTATACAATTTTATTTGTGTGTGTAGGATCATCGGAAAATGTGTTAAGTCTCGCGTTGTAAGGAGCAGAAGTTCAATGCCTGTAAGTACACGCAGACTTCACCTTTGTGGGAACGAAAATGGTTGCAAGGATAATTGGGAAATTAAGTTCAGTGCCACCGGAGAAAATAACTTCCAGAATCTAACTTCAGCCTAACCTAACCTCGACATTCGTGGATGGAAAAGCGCTTGAAGAGAATTTATTGTGAGGGCATAGGGGCTAATTAAAAGAAAGTACTTCACTAATCAATTTGTTCAAATTAATTAGAGTGGGAAGTTTCTTCGGACTGTAAAAGGAGTTTTTTGGTTTTCATAACTTCGATTTTTAATTAGAATTTATTTAAACTGTAGAGAGTCTAAACACCTAAAATCAGACGTTATAAACACACTTGTGTGTTTACTTAGTCGTGTAAGGGTGCAGATGGAAATATTTAGACCCGGAAGGAAAGAAGTGTCAGGAGGGTAGAAAAAAGTTGTATTTTTTGTGCCATAATCTGTTTCTTTCTTCGCTAGTTGCAAATGTGACGATCAAATCGAGGAATATATGAGGAGAAAATAAATGGATACGAAGCTTATATTTGAAAGCCTGGAGGGATGAGACCACTTACAAGACCTAGGGGTAGGTGGGAGGTTAATATTAATCGACCTTCAAGAGAAAGGGTAGGAAGTTTGAACTTTATACATCTGCCACAAGGTAGGGACCCTTAATGGGCTGTTGTTAGAACGGTAATGAACTTTCGGGTCATGTAAGTTGTAAGAGTCACATGAAATAACAGAGAAAACATTGCCTTGAAAATGGTTGTTTTCTGGATTGTTTCAGCGTGCAATTAGGTAGAAGTTTCACCAACGTTTCAGAGGTCCTTGCTGCCTCCATTATCGCTACTATGGTTGAGGCAGCTAGGATCTCTAAAACGTCGGGAAAACTTTACCTGATTATACGGTGGTCTAGCGGTTAGAACGCTGGCCTTGTAATCCTGGGGTCTCGGGTTCGATTCCCGGCGGTGCCCGAATTTATAACTTGTGTTGGGCAAGGCCGTGGTCTAGGCAACACGGAGTTTTCCTCCGTGGCATCCCAACAATTACTCCATTCACACTCACACAGAAGAAGGCAATGGCAAACCACTTCTGGATCATCTGCCAAGAACGTATATGAACAGGTCCCAGTCCGAGAAAAGGATGGAAGGATCCTGTTCATATGGACCTGTCGTCAGCCAGAACACTAAATAATACAATAATACGGTGTAAGAACCCAGAAGACAGCCATCTCCATACTCACCGTTTTGAGGACCTGAAATCATCTTTACCTTGTTTGCATTATCTTACATTTTTGACATCAGAAATGGGTTTTTTATCGGTTACGTGCAACGTAGATGGAAGGGGTTACTTTTTTTTAAAGTATGGAAACTTCAATTCGTGGTTGGGAAAATTATAACTCATTGCCAGCAGCAGATAAGAATCAATTAAATTCCTCAGAATTGTTTCTGAAACTTGGCCATTCTTCTGGGAGGATGAAACTAGTTTTGTTCTGCTCCTGCGATCGAAGTTCCTAGCAGTATTACGAGACAACAGACGTTGCTAGGGTGGAATTCTTTCTATAAGCGAATTCAGTCACTGCATGTCTGTGTAGGCTAATTCGGGGTTGTGGGAACAGGATGGCATGAGGCACATTAAGAGCTAATTACAAGAGAGCGCTGAGCTATTCAATCGTCAGTCTGGGCTGCAGGG